AGGACAGACTTTTAACATCGGCTGTTTCAACATCGGTTGTAAAAAAGGGTTTTAACCGATGTTAATATGATTTTTTAACCGATGTGAAAAGTAGTTTTTCCACTGGTGATGTATTGCATAAATAAATAAACTGCATACAAATGTACTTTGACCGAAACATGATTGCCAGATCAAAAGGAATTGATAGAATCTGCAAAACATAGCTTTTACAGCATACCTCTAACATAGGTGATGATTGTCTGTCCTATTATGATTCGTCGACCAAGTCGATAACTTAGCATGATGGTTGACTACACCACCGGGACTTGCGAGGATGCATGACACGTTCTAAACCTCGTGATAGAGGGAATGTGTGCGTGATCTCGTGATAGGTGTAAATTGTGACGAGCTGGGTGATAGGATGAGCCCTACCTGTATGGAGGCACCGGTAACCTGTTGGAACTGAAGGTCCATTGTTCGTTCCATTTTTGTTAGTGTTTTCGTGTTTATTTTGCATTCATTTTTTCCATTCTAGGTTATTTTCTTTTGTTCTTGGTCCATTTTGTGTCGTGTCGTGTGTCTTCTTTTCCTTGCTCGTTTTTTGTTCTTTTTATTTCTTTTTCTCGGTTTTCTGCATTTTTTCTTGGCGGTGGCAATATGCAGGTTAGGTGGTTCGGTAAGCAGCCGTGAAGTGATCGTTGCCCAAGAGTTGGAATCGAGTTGAGAAAGAGGAGTCGGAACTAAATCCCGGGTCCAGAGAAACGCGTGTCGAGCCGACGTAATTCTGTGCATAATTTCTTCACCGCGGCCGCGGAGGAGGAAGTCGCGGCCGCGGAGAGCGCGGATCCCCGACTCAGCGTGCAGAGAAGAAAACCCGCGGCCGCGGGTCATGTCGCGGCCGCGGTGAACGATTTGACCAAGGCGCCCAGTTTTACTCACCGCGGTCGCGGGAGAGGAAGTCGCGGCCGCGAAATGCCCGATAATCCAACACCGGCGACAGAGCTGAAAAGTCGCGGCCGCGGGATGAAGTCGCGGCCGCGGACCTTCCCTTCACCGCGGCCGCGGGACATGTCGCGGCCGCGGAGTGCGCGTTTTCAGAGTTTAAAGTAGCAGTTTTCTTTTATTTTGGGGGGTCGTTTTTTGAATGGGAGGTTTTCAATTCCCTCAGGACTTGTCTCGAAAAACTCATACTTTTCCTCAGATTTGATCTTGTGATTCAATCTTGGAAAGAAAAACTCCGAGATTCGACTTGTGGATTCGGTTTGCTCTTGTTTTCGACATTGGATTTGTTAATCGTAAGCTTTCTTTTAGTTTTATTATTGATTGAATGGCTTTGATTATGATGTTTGCTGATGTTGAATGCATTATGAGTAACTAAATCCATTAGCTAGGGTTAGGGGAAGATCATTCCGGTTCGATTTCGTTTATATGCATGATAATTGCTCAATCCTCTCGAGTTGTGCTTAGCCTAGGGTTTTGATGTTTGATCACCATCTTAATCTAGTTAATCGATTTTATAACTGAAAAGGGAGAAATCGTTCGATCTAGGCTCGTTAGGAGTAAGCTTGTTCGTAATAGTATTGCTTATGTGTTGATTGTCTCAAGAATTACTCGTTTATGTCTATCTTCTTGTTACGAAGAGTTATTGAGGATAGATCTCTAGATGAATAGTTTTGTGAGGCCTTAAACCGAGCTTTTGATTGCTCGTTAAGTGCATTGAGAACCGGAATCGATTGACCCTGATACCCTAGCTCCATTATAATTGATTGAGTTTGAACTTGAGATTCCTAGTTTTTTCTAGTTTTTCTTATTGCTTGTTCTTTAATTTGTAGTTGATTAATATTAAACCAAACCAATCGAATTTAAGTGTTTATGACCTTTTCTTTTATTATTTGGTGTGATTGAATATACGTACAGAATACTCCGGCTAACCTTCCTCGTGATACGACCCGGTGTCGAATCTTTGGATTCTACTCCGGTTAAAATTATTTACAACAGTGGCCGCTCATATGGATTATGAGATTTGGCAAATGGATGTTAAAACCGCTTTCCTTAACGGGAATTTGGGCGGGAACATCTATATGCAGCAACCAAAAGGATTCATTGCAAAGTGCCAAGAGCATCTGGTCTGCAAGCTGAAGAGGTCCATTTATGGGCTGAAGTAGGCTTCGAGGTCTTGGAACATCCGTTTTGACAAGGTTGTCAAATCGTATGGATTTACCCAATGTCCGGATGAGCACTGTGTGTACAAGAAAAGTGATGGAAACGTGGTGGTGTTTCTAGTGCTGTACGTGGATGATATTCTTCTCATTGGAAACAGTGTGAAGATGTTGTCAGACGTAAAGGTATGGTTATCCAAGCAGTTTGATATGAAGGATTTGGGTGAAGTAGGACATGTTCTCGGAATCAAGGTTATTCGCGACCGAGAGAAGAGAAAGTTGTGCCTATCCCAATCCACATACATAGATACTGTCCTAAAGCGTTTCAAGATGCAGGATTCCAAGAAAGGGGATTTGCCCTTTCAGCACGGAATACCTCTATCTAAGAGGATGTCCCCGAAGACGCCTCAAAAGAGAGAGGACATGAAGGCAGTTCCTTATGCATCAGCAGTAGGAAGCCTCATGTATGCGATGTTGTGCACGCGACCTGATATTTGTTATGCCGTGGGCATGGTAGCAAGATATCAGAGTAATCCAGGACCGGAACATTGGTCTGCGGTAAAGCATATACTCAAGTACCTTCGTAGGACTAAGGAGTACATGTTGGTTTACCAGGCAGATGAGTTACTTCCGTTGGGTTACACCGATTCTGACTTTCAGGCAAACCGGGATGAAAGCAAGTCAACCTCAGGGTTTGTGTTTACTTTAGGAGGAGGAGCCAATAGTATGGAGGAGTGTCAAGCAGAAATGCGTGGCGG